TTTGAAGCTCACCGCGCCTGCGCGCTGTTTCACAGAGAGCCGATCATGGGATGCACGTTCAAGCCGTGTTGTAAACCGACCTCCCAGAGATCCACATTCCCACAGATACCGATGGCATACCGCTTCCGGAGTCTCTTGAAGAAGTCTTGAAGGCACTGCACCTTGAGCTGACAGTCTTATGGAAGAGTGAAGCAAACTAATAGGACTGCGCAAAGCATGCCAAAGCCAACGCTCCCCGAACAGTCTAGGCTGTCATGGTATCGGTGTAGTACAGCCGAGACAGCAGAAAGCCTGAAGCCCCGAAGAGCACGCTCGTCGCAGCCTTCGCAGCCTTCGCAGCCTCAGCCCTAAGCCTGGCCAAGCCAGACGAAAAGAAGAGAAGCGTTGCAGCTGCGCTCTGGTCTCTCCCTCCCCCCCTCTCTCTCTCTCTCTCTCTCTCTCTCTCTCTCTCTCTCTTTCTCTCTCTTTCTCTCTCTCACGAACGCTGCTCCCGCCGCTCATGAGCCGGTTGCCCACAGAGGCTGAAGAGCGGCCATTAGAAGCCCTATAGAGAGCGCCCATCTTTATTCCCGAAGCCGCTGGCGCCATCCGCCACCATGCCGCTCCTGGGCTCAATCTCTCAAGCTCTCAAGTCCTGGAAGTCTCATGGAGTCCGAACGTGGGTTGCAGGATGTGCGAGCCAGAAAACACGGAGATCTCCCGCACCATCGAGAAGGAGCTCTTGAACCAGGCCAGGGCCAGGGCCAGTCGTGGTCCAAAAACACGCAGAGGGAGTCGTCAGCCTCCGGCAGAGCTCTGGCTCAGGTTGACGAGTCTTGGGCTCTGCAGCGGAAGAAGGCGCTCAAGGACGGGCGCAGGGCAGAGAGAAGGCGGAGGATGCTCTTCCAAGCTCCCTGAGGACCTCTACGTAGGCAACCCACCTCCGGTTGGCCGAACTTGCGCGGTGGAGCGTCCCGTCACACCCAAGTGGCTTTTCAGGCCTCAGGCTCTGTTGTTGTGGAGGGGTTTTTGTTTTGCTTGCCTCCTTTTTTTTTTTTTACAGGGGGCACCAGTACCATGGCATCAAGACCAAGGAGGCCGTTTTCTTATCGCACTGGAGTCCTAGTTAGAGTCCGTCGGAGCAGTGCCCCCCAGCCAGGAGCGGGATCATCGGGTTTTGAACGAGCTTGCTGCAGAGCGTGTGGCACAAGCCAAGCAGCTTCCATCAGGCCCAGGTGGGTCACCCCAGGACATCTGTTTGTTGCAAAACCGGTTGCTTGCTGTCCCGTCTAGAATCTAGAAGGGAGTCTGTTTGTAAAGGGAGTCCTTCAAAGCGGTTTTAAGCTTGTGCGATGCGATGTGCTTTCAGACGGTATAGAATGCATGGCATGGCAATGAGGTTAATCTCAGCATTCTCGCATTAAGAAGTTGTGCTGAAAGCACATTGTGAAGTCAACCATGCCGTAATAGCCGGGAGTTGTTTAGACTAGCAGCTCAACCTAGTGGGCCCCGTAATATCGCTTGGGCCCATTTCTGGGTGCTTTCTTCGGCAACTAGATCGGTTTGAGCCCCAAATTCATACTGCATCACGATGCTGAGCGATTTTTGCTTGACATGCTAACAGGACTGTCATCAATTTCCGTTTTTCTGCGCAACTTCCGAACCCCGTAGAAAACGGCTCTGCTGCTCTGTCACTTGCCGCCTCCGGCAAATTAGGGCCGAATGTTGTGCAGGTTGAGGTCTGGGGGCCCTCGTGGGGCATTTAGACGTCTACAGTTCAGGAAGTCGGACGGAGGAGGAGCTCAGCGAGAGCCGAGCAACACAACGCAAGGACCGCGAAGGGGTGAAGGTTTGATTTGTCTCAGCGGTTCTGGGCCTGTGCCTGAAGGACCCCCCGCCCGGCTTCGGCGGTGGGACGCAGTGACCTTGGTATGACAATGCGGGATCAAAGCAATTAACTTAATATCATGCCTTGGGGCTCCTTACCTGGGTTCCCCCAGTAGTACCTTTTTGCCCTTTTCACTGCCCAGCACTCGAACGCATCTCACACTTCGTGCAGCAGCTTGGACGAAGATGCACAAACCCGTACAGCAACTCGTGAAGCCTGTGCGAAGCCTGTGCGGACGGAGCCCGGGCGGCGTTCAAGTATATCTTGGGGGTATGGTTTTTTTGCGCGAAGGGAAACTGCGAAGAGCACAGAACGAAAGGGCGCAAGTACATGCCGCGCGACTGCAGAGCAATGGCCCAAGAACAGATTGCACACGACCTGTGGCAACATGCGGATTAACCCTGCGCTTTCAAATGAAAGCAAGTCAGTTTCGGAGTTCAAGAACAGGCCACATGAGGTCACTGTTAGTCACTACAGCGTGCTTGGCACGAATCAAGGATGCAAGACTGGGCAAAGCACATGAAGGCGCCTCTCGCCAGCAGTTCCAAAAAATGTCGACAGCGTTTAAGTGATGAGAGCATCACGTCACATCATGTCACAAGCCATGCCTTCAAAAAGAGGCACTGTGCATTTCCCTAAGGCTACCGGGTGGCAGGAACTGGCTGGATCGGTGATGGCTAGCTCGGGGCCCAAAGTGTCTCACACATTAGGATCCACGTTGCTGAAAGCACCGCTGGACAGCCTGCCGACATGCGGTCAGGGCAGATGTTGCGCAAGGATTGGTGCAGCGAGAAATGCGATTCACAGCAGCGGGCTGGACGGGGTGAAAGTGGCACACAGCAGCCTACCCTGCGGCACTTTCCATGAAAGGCTCACACCAAAAACAGATGCTGTTGAGACGAGCTCGCAGCGGTAATGCAGGTCTTGTTTTTTCCGCCCAAGGAAACATTTTGTGAATCACTTGCTGCTTCTCTGCGGGTTGAAGCCTTGGTCTTGAGCTTACCTTGTATATTTCCTTGAGTCTACAGTGTCCTGGAAAAATGCTCCGCGGCACCACCGACCATCGTTTGCACTATTCATGTGTTTTGTGCCTTGCGCTGTGTTTTTGCTGGCCTACAGTGCTCTGACGTGCTACAATCTTGAGGATGCTAGCTTGTCTACTGCTTTTGTACTGTTTCCATCAGAGGTTTTCCATGGTTTTCTCCTGTAAATCTTGCGCTTTGAGCCGCAAGCTAAGCTGATACATGCCTCGCGGCCTTGCGTCCACGGCTCGCCCAATTCCGCGTTCAATCTTCCAGACCCTCTGAATTGCTGTGCCTGCTGTGCTGACAGAGCCGCTGCCCGGAATGCGATGCAGAAGTCTGCATAGGTGTGCGAACGCGCGGGCGTGCCCATGCAATCGAGGCTAAGGGGTGCGGATACCGTGCGAGAAGCCGTGCGGGACTATATGCACTGCGCAGGGTAACCGGGTAAGCTATGTTGTAATCGCGTTTCGACCGTGGGTGGAACAAGTGGCGTGGACTTCGTCAGTCTGCCGCACCTTGCACTTGCACCTGCAATGAATAACAGCACCTGTCCCCATCCGCTACGCGGCCGATATAGCCGCGTGGCAACCGGACTGGGTTTGCCCGAGTTGTGCGCAGGCAATATAAGGTTGGCGGATGTCGATATCCCGGCGGATGCAGGGCAACCGTGTGGCCGTTGCGGACGCATGTTGCAATGGGAACGCGCAACTCGGCAGGGCAGCTCAACTGCACGGCGGGTTGAGATGGAGTCGGCCCGTCCTCTCGCACCCGCAGGCACCATCTGGTCCATGTACCCACGGAGCCCGCTCGCAGGGCAGCGCGCTGGCTCTCGCGCCGCCCGCCCGCAGGTCACGTGCAGCAGGCTACCAACTCCTGGCTGTATGCACCGTTGCTGCAAGCCGCCGCCGCAGACCTCACCTCACCCGTTGGCAACGTCTGGCCCGCCTGCACCCCATGTACTAAGCGGTGAGGCGGGTAGTATGAGCAAGACGGCTACCTGACGGCACGGCTAGAATGTTACGGCGGCCCGGCGCTCACGGTCGCGGTTCCCACCACCGCGGACAGCCACAGCGCACGCCCCGGTAGAAGAAGTAGTACAGGACGCCGACAGTAACCGATTCGCAACCGGACCTCCGCAAAGACGCCGCGGCGCCCGAGGCAGAGGCAGTGGAGCGGCTACCTCGGCGCCGGGCCAATCGGGACTGGAGGCGGACCGGGCGCCTTCAGCCAGTGACGGAGCTGAGGGAAATGCGGCGGCCCCGGATTGCGGACCTTGCCGGCACGTCTGCTGCGCTTATACCCGCGAGGCATTGCTGGAGTGTTCCGAGTGCTCGTGTTTGCGCTTGAGGCGATCTGCCTTGTGCAGGAGGGCCGCGATGAAGCAGCGAGGGTTGGGGCTTGGACACTTTACCTCCCGTTGCCACTCTTGCTTCTCGCACTCTCCGCTATACGAATTTGCATCATGCATACAACCGGTTTGTATGCCACCTTTAACTTACGTCTTATGCAGCAGAACAGTTCGAAAACCCCGGTACCGTCGTGGCAGTGAAAGCATGCAAACACTCCACAAAGTTGCCACAAAACAAAGTTCCTTTTTTTAAACCTGAGTTTCATAAACACTCCTAGCAGTTCGCCTCAACTTTCGAAGCCGTGTGTAACCCTCACCAGTATGCCCGCCACGCGCCGGGGCCGAAGCAACGCTGTTGTCAGTTGACGCTGCAGCTGCATCTGACCTCGGTAGCCGGGAAGCTGCTCACGGCACTGCGTGTCACACCTGGTGTCCTACCTGACCTACCTGTCCTTCCCTTTGTTCGTCTGTGGTATGCCCGGGAATCGTGTTACGTTTGGGTTGCGGGCGATCGCTCACACATCATCCCACAAGCCGACGGTGGGCGAGCACGGGGACCCGTTGATGCCGGCCATGTTCCGACATTTACATCCTCGCCCCCAGCTGCCAAAGTCGCTGAGTTGTACGGGCCACCACCTTTTGTGGCAGCATGCACGCCTCCGACTCAAAGCTGCCAAAACGAAGATGTGGAATTCTGTTGGCATCTCCTAGCTGGCCTATTCGCGCTTGCCCTTGACTCCCGGCTTTGGGCTGGGGTGACCTAGCAGAGCGTGGTGTTGTTGCCCTTGGCGAATTCTTGGCAGCCGGGACCCGGGAGTTCATCGAGGCGCACTTGCAGTCCTTGGACAACCTCCCTGCACTCCACGACTCCCAGGTTGCCCTGGTATGCCCTCCTGTTGCACAGCGCCGCGTGCGCAATACACGCTCCGCACTCTCCTGCTGAAACACACATCGCAACGCTGCTGCTTGCTGCTGACGCCTCGCCGTTGCCAGCCCGCTCAAGCACACGCACAATTGGCACTGCAGCACGGCGGCCTCGGCTTGTGCAACGCCACCAAGCATGCGTCTGCCGCTTTTTCCGGGCTTGATGGGCGTTGCGCGCTATCGCCCGGCGCGAGCCCGACTTCGCACACGAAGTCGCCAGTGCCCCAGAGGCCTTCCAATCGGCGCGAGACACCCGTCATGCCATTGTAATTTTTTTTCTCCGGACTTTTGCTCCCTGCCGTAGTCCTGCCGCAGTCTGCTCCTACTGTGCGGTCCCGTGTTAGGGCCAGTCGGTCAGCGCATGTCAGCGCAGCGGAAGCTGGCTGACGGGTCGGCAGGCGCCAATGCCAACACCTCGTCCCAGGCTGGCACCCGACTCTGCGCCGCCCGCACCTGCTCGGCCCAGTGCTGTGTGGCCGGTCGCCTGCTGCACTGCCGTGGAGAGCACGCTCCACCAGCGCCGCGCCCAGGCTGTGCGGGCTGGGCCGCGCGCGGCCGGTGGGGCCCGGCAGGAGCGCAGTGCGACCAGGCGCCGCACAAGCGACATGGCTGAGGCGTTCCAGTGTCCACCAATTTCACGCCCGAGCACGCAAAGGGACTGAGCGCCTCCCTGAGCGAGCTCGGGGTAGATGGCTCGCTTGCGACGCTCTGCCACTTGCAACACGGCCCCATCTCGAGAAGGGGCCCTAGCATGTGGGGTACCATCCCGACGAAGCGGCGACACCAGCGTGGCATCGCAACAGATGGCCCCTCCCAGCGGCGTCGCTCCATAAATCACAAGGTCAAGCCGACGGCGCGGTCGTGTGTGCGAGCCATTGCTGGGGCACCACATGCCCTTCAGGGCCGACGGCTTCACGGGCGACTCGGCACCACACCCACTCGACGACGTTTGCGCGTCGGGCGAGGGTGGCCACCAAGTGCGTCCGAACGCTGTCCGCAGCCAGGCGCTTCACCTCAAGGCCGGTGCCAACGGCAGCGGGAGCCGTAGCCTGCGGCGGAGTGCTATCAGCATGACGTCCGGGGCGAGCGACGTGTGAGGGTCGCTCGGGATGGCCGTCAACCAAGCACCCGCATGCGGGCCCGCCTGCGAGCGCAACATCGCATGAGAGGCCGGAGGCAAGGAAGGCAACAGCACGTGGTCGCGGAAGAAAAGGTTGCGAGTACGCGACGCATGGCGCGGCCATCCATGTCTCCACTCACCGGGCTCGATGTCCGCATCAGCTTCCGCCGCGCACGGTGCGGCCCCGCGCGCGAGTTCATCCCATGCAGGGGGCTCGTTTCAGCCTCCGGCCACAAGCAGTGACCTGCTTTCGGCCGCCGTTCGCAAACAAGCAGGGGCGTGCTCACCGGACAGGGCGCGCACTGTCCATGCGGCAGAGGCAGGGTTGCGTGATCAGCCCAAGCTGCCCACTAAGCCGCAGGGGCAGCTTGGGCGAGGCCCAACCCGCCCAAGTACGCAGGGAGGAGGGCGAAGTCTCGCGCAGGGCAGGCAACGTCCTCGGCAGGCTCCCCCGCGCACGGCCCCCGCCGGCTCGCACTTGACTTACGCGAGTCCAGTCGCGGATGGGTGTGTTGCCGCGGATCCCCCCCCAAAGTCCTCCCCTGGCCTGGCCAGGGCATTCCAACCGCCGAGGCGCCCAATGCTGCTGCACACAGTCCCTCTCGGCACCACCAGCGCCGCCAACACAAGGCTGCAGCCTGGTGCAACCAAGGCCCTTCTGACGCCCCCGCACATGGTCGCACGCACAGCTGGCTCTTTGTGCCTTTGCTGCATAGCCCAGGCCTGATGCACCGTCCCACGGACGCGATCCTGGCGCTGACGCCCGATTGCGCTACCGAGCATCTTTGGCGAACCTTGACCCTTTTGTAGCTGCGGATATCCTTGCGCAGCCCTGCCGCCTGTTCCGGGTCCCCCCGCAGTTCTGCAAAGGTGCTCGCCAGCTTGGGGGAGCTCTCGTCGGCTTCGCGTGTGTCGGTGAGCCGCACTTCGTCGCCAAGCACTTGCAAACTCTCTCGGACCAGCACGAAACTCTCCTCTCGCCGTTGCCCGTCTCTTGGCTGCTGCTCCTCTACACAGCTGCCCCCGCGCACAGTTTGCCTTGCGCA